ATATACACACACACACACACACACACATACATGTACATAAATTAATATAAAATGGGCTTTCACTCATTACATATTTAAACTGAAACCTTGTGATTAACAGGTTAAAAAAGTTTCATTGCTTATAATTTTGCAGGCATTGTTCTTCAAGTCAAAAACAAACATAAAATTTGCAGTTTTGTAAAATAAAAAGTGTGTGTGTGTGTGTTTGTGCATGCACAAGTGAACCCCTGATTTTAGGGTTTTAAACTTGAAGTCTTACTGCCTTCCCACCGGAGGACAAAAATTTTATAAGAAAGTTTCAAAAACTGTAGGAAGATAATAAAGAAAAACAGTATTTAAAACCTACAAGAAGTAAACATTTTTAAATATTTCTTAAAAAACCACATCACAATGAAACCTTTTCAAAATTTTAAAGCTGCAAATCTATAAAACATAACATTCAAAAATATTTTATTTCCACAAGCAACATTATCTGTAAAAGTAATTATAAAGTTTCAAAGTATTTCATCTTGTAATTTCTTTTTTGTTTTTGCACTGCAATAAAACAAACTGTACAATAGATGAATCAAACCGATGCACAGTTAAATTAATCTTAGTTTTAAAATGCCTAACTTCATCGTCTATAAGATTCTAATACTGCAAATATGATGCATAACTTAAAAATTAACAAAAAATTAAGGTACTAATAAAAATTGGATTTATTTAAATTATGTTATGGCTCTTAATTATAATTAGGACATTTTCTACAATCTAATATCACTCATCAATTATAAGGTTTCACTAACTTTTTTATATTTTTGGCTATTACAATAAAAAAAAAAAAAGGTTAATTTTGCACTTTCAGTTTTTATGCATGCTTATCTCCTCATCTTATGAACTGCCAACTTACAAAATCAAATATAATGAAATATTTATAAACTAATTTTTTTAAGATTAACAAAAGTTGAGTGGATTCTGCTCCTGATTAGAAATTAAACTTTAAGATCTTAGTACTTGTACATGTATAGTTCACAACCAAAGTTCATTGAGCTATTTATATGTTACCTTCTCTTGATTGTGGGGAATTAATTGCCTTATCTGGCCTGACAACATCTTGACGTTGAATAATAACATCTCCTGGAGGAGTATGAGGAGTAAGTGGTTCCCCAGTGACCGATACAAAACTACTAGAAGCCTCAGATTTTACTTTATTATGATGTGAACTATGAGGCGAATGGATTGGGGGAGGATTGCCTGTTCCTAAAACAATAATTTCAAATAAACCCATCAATATTCTAAACAAAAATACAGCCATAAAATGTAAAAATATTCACTTTTTATTAGTAACAATGAAACACTAGAAACAAAATCTAAGCAATTACTTAATTAACTTAAAAAGAGTAGACAAATGGTAATCAAACTGCTACAAAAAAAAAGAGAGAGAGAGAAAATAAGAAGGGATATCACACATATCACTTGATTTTCTTTAACAACCTGTAAAAGGTTATATGGCTAAGAAATAGCAGCCAGCTAAGCTTCTACAAATGAAAACTAAAAACAGTAACAGCATAACAATATCAAAAGCACATAGTCAATTGTTTTGGATATTCCCACAAAAGTACACAAGGGATAACTGCATTATCCTTCCCTAATTTTGAATGCATAGACTAAAGAGAAGGTAGCTAGTCAAAAGAAAACAATGCCAACTCTTGAGCTACTGTAATCAAATAGTGAGATTTCACTATCACTTTTATAATGTACCCATGGCCCAAAAATGCAGAATGCAATTATGTGGTATTGTTATTCACAGTCCAGCACTGCTAACATAAAAAGGAGACAAATGGAAAGGAACTAAGCTGCTTATGCTTTATTTGTTTTTTAGTTCTCAGATATTCACACAAAGATACCACAGGAGCTACCTGCACTAGCCATCCTTAATTTCAAACTGATAAGACTAAATAGAAGACAGCTAGTCAACAGCACTCATTGGCAACTCTTGGGTTACACTTGTATGACGAAATAGAAGGACTGGACAGTCACCCTTACAACGTATCCATGGCCCTAAAATGCAGAACGTAATACTATTTTAAAGAAACAGGTTGCGAACCATGGCCTGCAGATCCACCATACAAAACACTTACTAACGAACCACAGATGTCCCTCAACTGCTTATGTAAGATGTTTTTCTGAAACATATCAACCAAATTCACAACTGTAAATCTATAAAAGACATCAACATATTTGTACTACCTTATGGAATCTCAATATTTTCACTTACAAACTATCAGATTATCCAATTTCAGGGTAACATGCATAGAAATAATGTAAAACCAACAGCAAATTAGTAAACTGCACATTACCATGACTAAAAATCCACATAATTCCAATTTTATAAGCACAAGTAAACATTTAAAAATAAATTTGAGAAAGGATAAAATATAAAAATTTTTTTAACTATTAGTGTTTTAGTTTTTTTAATTAGTACATGTTTTTTATTCATTTTTAAATATTTATTCATACTTATAATGTCACAGACATGTCTATTTTTTATTCAAATTTAGCATGAAATTATTAATTCCCATTTTTGCACTTTACCATGTTTCTCTCATTTGTCAGGTTAATGAATCTATTATGATAGAAAAAAATTATTTGTAAATTGACAGATCACAAGGATTTGTTTTTTACATAAATATATTGGCACTTACTCATATCAGAAATTTCATTTTTTTTTAATAGGAAAAACAAAAGAAGAGTAGGAAGGCACAAGAAGAGCTATCTATTTTTATTTCATTGTTGTTCTAAACTAGAACTTTAATGTGCTAATCACTTTTACATATACAAAGAGATTCTCACAGACTACTGAGAGGGATCTAGAGAACATTTGGGGCTCCCTAAATCAGCCAATAAAAGAACAGTTCACATAGGAATGACCAGTAAGAAATTATTCAAACATACCTCAATTAAACTTATGTGTCCGACTCTCTACATCTTTTTATTTCATCTTTACATTTACTAAATTGCAAATATATTTACTTGTCAATAGAAAATCATATGCATAAAATTACAAATAACCATTTTGTAACTAAACTTCACACGTTTAATGCTGAAGTAAACAAGCTTCACAATTTAAAATGATACATGAAAAAGTAAAAAAAGGCAAAATAAACTGCCACTTACGGACAATATGGATATTACTAGGGTCAATATCACTTCCCCATGAAGTTTGACTACTTAAACTGGCTGGACTATGACCATAAAAGCCACCAACATCTCCAGCACCAGATTTTTCAATCTCTTCTTCATTGGACGAAATTCTTCGAAGACGTTTATTCCTTGGTTCAAATGGTGGACTACCTGGGTGAGTAGTTACCTCAGGGTTAACCATACTCAGTGGTTGATGTCCTCCAACTCCAAGGCCTCTGTAGTCTGTAGAGGATGAATAGTTGTTGGAATAATAAAAAGATGATTCCATCTTGACAATGTTGAGAGGAAGTTGTATATCATTTGTAGGTTGCATTATGGAATCTATACAGATGACCAAACAAAAACAAGAAAACCAAGTAAAAAATAAACTTAGTGATTTCTTTAATGTGTGTGCATGCATACGTGTGTGTGTGTGTGTGTTTGTGTTATGCTATTAACATATTTGGTTTGATTAGTGTAAGATTGATTTATTTTAAGATAAATGTATACCTCATTGTTGTATAATATATAGTGCAACAAATGTAATTTAGAATTACTCACTCTAAAATCTATGTAGCAGATGTGTTTGCATCTATCGCATTTTAAATGTTTATAATTTAGTGTGATCTTGATCTGTTATGTTGGTGTATTTCATTATTTGTTAATACTTTAGTATAAAGTGGGTGTATTCATTTCAAAATATTTCAAAAAATATGTATTTGTGCTTTATACTTTAAACTTATACTTGAAGATTTGTCTTTGTCTGTTAATGGAAATGACTGAAGCCAGCAATGCCATCAATGTTGACATTTCTCCATGTTCTTGGGCACTGATGACAATGTCCAACCAATGAAAACAATGCCCAATTTCACCAGCCAATCAGTATTAAAGTGTAAATTAACAACATCAGCTGCAATATCTTGACATCATCCTAGATACACAAGGCAATGTCATGAATGCCAAGCCAATGAGGGAAGTACTGTATTTTACTGGATTTAAAACAACAACCAAACATTTGTGGCCACTATTGTCAATAACCATGATGTTAGAAAAACATGTAGGTTCAAGAAATAAATTTAACTTCAAAATACAATACTCTGTAACCCAAGCACTTTTGAATGGTGGACTTTTCTTCTTCAGGGGCAAACTAGGAATTACTGTGTAAATCAAAGTTTGAGACATAAAATGAAAGTTAAGTGACTTCATGGCTGCTACCATGTATATCCAGAAGTGTCTTCAGTAGCTTTCAATGTATTGTTACAAGTTTCTCATTTCCGGTGCAACATTAGTGTAGTTTCTCTTGACCTTTTTGTTAAAACAACACATCTCCAACTTCTTTATACCTGACATTCTTGTTTCAAGTAGTATTGCACCAGAAATAAGAAACACTTATAATAAGACATTTACAAGTTCGATTTTCTAGAAGTGGAACTTTAGTATTCAGTAGGTTATTATCTTGAAAAGTACAACCATGAAGTGGTTTGTCACCAATTAACAACTTGATATAATAACAGTTTCAGGTTATTTCTGAGATGTTTGAGAGTTATCTGTCAGTGCCAAGAGAATCTTAGCCTCTTATTTACAATACTAGCAAACCTGTGGGCTTATGGCCCATATTTACAGGGCCACTATAATGCACATTTAATGTCCAAACTACTATTTTGCACTTTGTCAGTGTAATCATCATTGCCGCTGTAATGCAAGTTTAATTTCTTTAACCAAGTTATGAATGGTAATTAGTAGGCCTATTTTCAGGGAATCTCCGTAAAAGTGTTTTAGCAAAATAATTGTGTTCCTTAAGGAGATGGGTGAAAAGTTTTACTTTTGTGCAAACCTCGGGGCTTAGACAATTCGTTTAGCACCATTTAGAAGTTTGCAAGTCCAGCAGTTAGGAGAAGGGTTTTCAGGAAATTCTGGGTTCCCCAGCGTGTGGGGCGACATATTTTACCTTTGTGCAAACCTTGGGACCGAGACAATTCATTCGGTACCACTTAGAAATTGGCAAATCCTGCAGTTTAGAAGAAAGAGTTTTTAGGAAATTCCCAGGTTCCCCAAGGAGTGGGGTGAAACATTTTACCTTTGTGCAGACTTTGGAACTTAGATGACTTGTTTGAAACCTCTTAGAAGTTGATGTGACCAGCAGTTTAGGAGGAGTTACATGACATACACACACACAGATACTGAATCTTATTATATAGATTTTCTAACTTCATTGTTGAATAATGTTTTTATAAGATTATCATAAATATTCCTATTTGACTTTCATACAGCAATTTGCCAAAAATATATAGTTACTTTACTTTGCTATTTCAATGTGATTTTAATCGATAACTCAAGAATTATTTTAATATGGTTTTGGAAAATTAATTTTAATTGACTATTAAATACAGAATAACTTTAATTATTATTGCTTTCATCTTTCCTAATAGCATTTGAATATAATTTAAGGACACCCATCCAAGATCCTAATGCAGGCACATAATAAATGAAGATACAGCTCTGAATATATCATGAATGTAAAGTCAGCTTAAGATCAGTAATTTTTTTTACTACAAAATATCTAATAGTAATGAAACAATAACTTGGATGACATAACTGCAGGACTAGGACAACACTTGTCAGAATAACAGTTACTAATACAACTATCTTTGAAATATCCTTATCTTTTTTTCAGTAGCATGACAAAAGCTTTCAGAACAATATTATCTACAAAGCACTAATACTACTCCAGAACAAAATAATAATTTACAAGGTTGAAAATTATCCTATGAAGAACAATAATCTTTACTAACTTGACAACTGTCCTCAGAATAATTCTATACTATTTAATATATTGAAAACTATAATTAAACAATATCAAACATAGATATTTTATGGGATGAAAAATAATTATCAGAAAAACTACAATATTTAACAGCATGACAATAACTTTCACCATGTGCTGTCTAATCTTTAATATTTTTTTTACATTTCAACCCTAAAAAAACATTTTCAGAAGAACATTAAAATTTTTACACTTCTTTTACTATGCTACTAAAAAACAAATTTACCAACATAAAAAAAAATCTGAAAAAATTTTGATACAGCTAAAACACCAAATTGTGCTTTCTTTTTATAACTGATGATTAATATAATGATGAAATATATTACAAATTTTAAGTCTCTGTAAAATTATATAAGTTGCAATTTTATGTTTGACTTCTTGTGTTAGAATATGTGTATTATTCATACATTCAAACATTTCTTAACAGATAACAATTAAGTATCACTACCTTAACAGCATTGAGTAATAAGGACTGGGTACTATTTGATATCCCACAACCATATTAATTTATCTGTACAAACCTTGATAAAATTTGAATTTGCCAGCAGATTCTCCCTCATCTACAGTAAATTACCACTACAGAAAGTGTTAACTTGTTCAATCCACATGTTCCCTACCATGCCTAACTCTTACTAAACAAGTCAATACAAGAATGTACAGCAAGAAAGTTTTAGTACAAAAAGAACAAATTTGATAAAAAGTTATATTCCTAATAAATTAATACGTATCAAACATGCTTTAAGTAATCTTAAGTCGCAAACACAAAGCAAGACGTGCATAAAATAGGAGTTTTCAGTGTATATGCACAACAATAATTTACTAAACTTGCCTTTGGACATTCGGTATAGTTCAGCTGAAGTAAACACTCCTGTTGCAACGATTGTATTCCTACACATTTCTGGGTAGAAAAACAATTGCATTCCATTAGCATTATTACTTTTCATTCGTCTGAAGTAAATCTTCCATTCCAATGTCTTTTACTTATTCTACAACAAAAAGGAGCTCTATTTCACTTTGAACATGCTCTATTTTTCTTGATTACAATTAACTCTGAGGTTTAGGCATCATGCCCACTCTGACAAAAACTCAAGCCATAACAATACAAGCTTTAATCTACTTAAAACAACACAAATCTACTTTTAAGGTAAAATCCATGACAAGATATTATGTTTGAGCAGAAAAGGAACCATGGAGTACTATTTAGTACCACCTTTAAATAATTAGAATATAAGAAGGGTACAGAATAGCTCTAACAAACTAAATTCTCACTAAAAACTATTAGTAGAAAGATTCATTTCTTTGGTATATTATTAGACATGGAATGTTATTATAGGGATTTGAGCAACATATATGCTGCACAAAGTAGCAGCAAACACAAATATATTAATGACTTTCAAAACAGAAGTAGCCGTCTTAAGCAAAGTGCATACCCCAACATTATCTCATACTCTATACTTGCCAATCAAGAACTGGTTTGTTCTTTCAAGGCTTTCCAGTTTTCTTCAATACAAGCTGCCAAGATATTCCACAATGTCATGTTAGCTCACATTTCTTCACTGTTCATAGCATATCAAAAATAAAGCAAGACAAATTGTTTCTGTGTCAAAATCTCCCACCCACCCCATCTTAAAGAACACTATTAAAGTTACTTTGCAGTAATTGTAAATGATGGAATACAAAATAAGTTTAAGAAAACCCCACTATAATTATGCGATTCATAAGTTCAAATCTAGTTAGACCATAACGTGTTAAATATACATTGACTGTGAATCAGAAATCACAAAATGTGGCAAAGACATTTCTTGTCTATATTTTAGGCCACAAAAATCAACAAATAGACAATTATTTAATGTTACTGTTCACAACAACAGATACGAGTGTTCGTCATGGTTGGATGTATATCCTTATGTGACTGTGAAAAAAAACAAATAAAACTTAAAAGTAATTTATGCTTTGAGAACAGAAAACAAAGTTTCTCAGACTACACACCCATTTTTTACTATGTCATGAATCAATATAATTGTCATTCAAACTTGAAATTGTTTTCTACTTTACTTAACTAAAAACAACTATGTAATACTAGGATAGTCAGCTGGAATGTGTGTTCAATTAACTAAAGAGCAGATACATCTTACCAAGAAATGTCAAAGAATAATGTTTACAAGTGTTTCAAGCATTCACGCTTTGAGTTTTCTCTAACAGATGGCTTTAAGGATAGTATACAACCAATTACCTTGTAACATAACAAGTACAGTGTTTTGTATGTGTAGCTGCAATCTAATATATTCTTAACTAATTCTCAATTACATTCACTTGTGTGCATTTTCAATGTGTTTTTTTAAGGACTAATTAATTCTTAACTTGCACAATTATTAACAGCTTATTATGGTGATTAACATATCCCAATTCTATTTACATTAACAATAATATTTATTTTGTCAAGGTTTAGATTTAACATTCAAAATGTTTTACAGCTAGAAAGATACACTGACAAACATTTTTTTAGTTCCATGATAATTGGATATTAACTATGTAAGTATTCAATATATATTAGTAAGTAATAAAGATAAGGTTCATTACTTTTCAATACAATCAAATGTTTAATCTTGGTGATGTAAACAAGTTATGAGGCTCTTTCCTTGCAACAGTGCCAGCTTTAATGGCAACAACCTGACTATGGTCATGACCTCCATGGCTCAGACAAGAAGACAAAAGATTGATTAAAAAAACAAATGAGCTTAAGGGCTGGAATTCTGGCTTCTTGCCTGAGTAATTAGAGCCACATACAGTTAGAATGAACAGCCACAGCAGAAGTATTAGTCTTATAAAATAAAACCACTAACTCTGAAATCGATTTGGAACAAAGATAAATTAACATACACATTCAGAAAAATTATAAAGAACAATAAAATATCATTTTAGCACAACAAAATAAATGACATACAAGTTAATTTATAACTCAAGTTAGTAATATTTATATATTAGTTTAAAAATTACCTAATCCAAATATGTCAAACAAATTGCAATAATTTCAACTAATTTTGCAGTAAGTAATTCTGTATTGTTCTGTCAAAGTAAATTCCAAACTTAATTTCAAATATTAGTTTTTCAGAACACTATCAGTTAAAAGACAAAAAGTAACTAGGATTTATTCAAAATTCTTTTATACCTTTAAAATAAAAAAGGGTCACTTACCCCTGTCTTCAACAGCTTCACTATCACATACACTTTCTCGTAAACCACTTAAAGTTTCTAAAAGCAAGGAAATACAATCTGTTATATCACAAGTGCCTATGTTATTTTCTTGTGAAGATTGTTATTATTATCAAACTTTAAATTCTGTTATTGCTTAACATGGCACTGTTTGTGAGCAAAACCAGGTAATATTTCTATTTGTGTTTCTGATGAAAATAAATCTCATCTCTTCTTTAACTCAAAATGAATAATATATATACATATTTTCCAGGACAAAATATATCTACTCACAAAGATCTTTCTTATGAACATATATTATGATACATTTTCTTCTGATTGAAATTAATAATTTCTTTATGCCTAAAAATAATTTGTCATTTCTTCACAATTGATAATAATTAATAACACTTTTTCTTCTGAGCAAAGTTTATAAGTATGTTTTACTCTATTTATAATAATTAACAACACTAACAGAAAGAAACTTTACTCAGGACTAAATAATGCAATACCCATAAATAAATGTTGTAATATTCAGCTTTTCTCGTGAGAATAAATTTGATATTTCAATACATATACCATTTCATTCATTTACAGTGTTTGTGTTTAATTAGCTCTTTCAGCACAGGCTCTGTCCCTTGGACCAACTTTGTAACCATTTTGTGCTTGTTATAGTTTTCATGCTATAACTTTTA